GGGCAGCCGGGCCTTTATCCTGCTGGAAACATCTGGCACCGCTGCGTATGCGAACTTTATTTAAAAACATGAATACAAGGAATTTCCTCCCCTCCGAAGTAGTAAATGGCTGTTGGCGGGGTTTCTTGAGGGAGGTGGTTCAGTTTGGGGTTGTGGGTTTGTTTTTTTTACAGTACAACAGTATCTGTTTCTCACTGCTAATGAGAAGTTTCACACCACTGCTGCTTAGGTTTTAATCAAAAAGTTGATTCTGCAAGTAGCTTCCACTGAGAAGCTACTAGGAGTAGCATTGTTCCTGCTTGGCAAGGAGTGCTCGTTCCCTGTACTGGCTTTCAATTCAAATTCACCTCCAACACCCTGTGAATGGTTTCTGGCTCTCCTCAGGTGTGACGGGCACTGACAAGGGACAACGTGTCAATGCTTAAATGCCATCGTCACCTTACGCTGTTTGTGAAATATTTCCCTTTGGATATTACCTGTGCAAGTTGGCCACAAAAGAATACTGCTTTACGACATGTATTTTAACATGTACCTAAGAAATAATGAGTATGGAATTTTCTTTTTAAAAAAATAATAATTAAAAAAATCACGTATGTAACTAACGTGCATTAATGCGTCTCCTCTTAAAAATCAAAAGCATGCAATCCAGAAACAAGGGGACAGGGTTCCCATCTCAAGTCCAATAAAGTAAGTTAAAATCTTTTGGCAAGCTGCAAATTTGCTGCTGCAAATTCTGCAGGTTTTTTTTTAAGACTGGAGAAGCTGCAGAGCAAGGCAACACAGGAGGCTCATGTGAACTTCCTCATGAACCGGAGTTTTGCATAGGCAATGACCAGGAAAATAACAGTCATGCAGAAGAGAGCCACTATGTTTTCCCACATGGCCCAGTCGGTAGGGGCGATGCCTTGGCTGCACAGGTATGCTTCCCCAGAACACCTGCAGAAAAGCAAGGGGCAGAAGTTGGTATGATGTGGTGCAAGTCTTCAGGTAGTTACTTTCATCCCTGTTCCCCAAAGATTCTTCTCCCTTCACCTCTGCAAAACCAGTGACAGAAATAGAGTAACTTCATAACCTAACACTAAAAAAAATTGAGGGACAAATACGGAATCATAGAATGGTTTGTGTTGGAAGGGACCCTAAAGATCATTGACCTCCAACCCCCCTGCATGGGCAGGGACACCTCCCACTAGGTCAGGTTGCTCAAAGCCCCATCCAACCTCATCTTGAACACCCCCAGGGAGAGGGTATCCACAACCTCCCGGGGCAAACTGTTCCAGCGTTTCACCACCCTTACACTAAAGAATTTCCTCCTAATGTCTAATTCTAAATCTACCTTCTTGCAGCCTGTTTTAGGACCTCTCATCCTATCACTGCCCTCTGTGGTTAAAAGCCCCTCCCCAGCTTTCCTGCAGGCCCCCTTCAGGTACTGGAAGGTGCTATAAGGTCTCCGCAGACCCTGCTCCTCTCCAGTCTGAACAGCCCCAGCTCTCTCACCTGTCCTCATAGAGAGGTGCTCCAGCCCTTGGATCATCTTCGTGGCCCTCCTCTGGATATTCTCCAGGAGCTCCATGTCCCCTTCTCTGGAGACGTTAAAAACCCTCCTGGATGCAGTCCTGAGTAATGTGCTCTAGGGGATCCTGCTTTAGTGGGGCATTTGGACTAGATGATCTCTAGAGGTCCCTTCCAGCTCTGACAATTCTGTGATTCCATGAACCTCAGTTTTCCAGCCCTCCAGCATGTGTCATGAAATACTGGCATTGCTATAACTTCAGATATTGATAAGTTAGAGGTATTTCAAATGGGGCAGTTACGCTAGGAGATAAGTAACTTGGCTCTCTACTGTATCTGCAAGGAGATTAATATTTACAAGCAAGCTCTGAGGGGCAAGTATGTTTCTGATCCCAGGTCTGCTTCCCAGCAACTTTGTAGCTGTCCACACATTGCTAAATGACCCCGAGTTTGTTTAATAAAACTGATAAGCCGAGGCTAGGTTATCAAAAACAAAATTTAAATTTAGCTCATCTGCCTATTTTTAGGAGTAAAGTTTCATCCCTACTTCACTCTAAGGTAACCGTGAAGTTTTACTATAAAATCCTAAAATACATTATTTTGGCACCTATTATTGAGACTGGCCCTCGAGTGGTTATTCTGTGAATAATACAAAACTTTGAAACAGTCACATTTCTCTTTAAGCAAGCCACTGCAATTCAGGACCGAGAACCACCATGAGTTAGAGACTTACATTTCTCCTGAAATTTCAGGGGGACAACTGCTTGCATCTCCCACAGATGCTGTAACATTTGGATTCTTCTCACCACAGAAATAGAGATCTCTGAACTCATTCACTTGAAGAGCCTAGG